TCATCAATTTCTTTTCGATTGAATTCTGGAAACTTTTTGGCTAATTGATAGAAATTAGACATTAATTCTAATTTAAAATAAAAAATTTGAAAGAAAAAAAAAAGAATTTAAAAAAAAAATTTTTTATATTTTTAATTTAAAAGTTTTTAAATACATTTTTGTTTAAAGTAAAAGATTTTTTTTTTGTTAAAAGAAAAAAAATGAAAAAAAAAAATTAAAAAAAAAAAATTTTTATTTAAATAAATTTTTGCTTTTTTTTATTTTTTTAATTAAATTTAAAAAAGGAGAAAAAATAATCAAAAAAAAAAAATAATTCCACTTTTTATTTTTTATTTTTTATTTTTAAATTAAATTATTTAATTAAAAATTATTAAGAAAACCAATATTCAGGAATAAAAACTTGAGAAGCAGAAATTATACCAAGAACAATCATTGAAAAACTTACTTGTCTCCATTTTTTCTTTCCAAAAATAAAAGAAATTAAAAGAACTAAATAACCAAAAGAAACACCTTTTGTAATATTTGCAAAAATTGGGATTAAAATAGTAGAAACAATAACAGGAATTATTTCAATAATATTATCAAATTCCATAACTAAAAAATTAAAATTTTTTCAATTAAATTTTTTTGGATTAAAATTTTTTGGATTAAAATTTTTTTCAATTAAAATTTTTTTCAATTTACATTTTAACATTGTAAAAATTAAAATATTAGTATATAAAAGAAGACTTCCTGTTGCTTCTGGTGGAATTAATAAAATTATTGGATAAAATAATGCTGATAAAAGAAATAATAATCCTGTAATAACAGATGCAAGTCCAGTTCTATTAAATTTAAATTAAATCCAAATTAAAATTAAATCCAAATTAAAATTAAATTAAATTAAAATTAAATCAAATTAAAATTAAAATTAAATCAAATCCAAATTAAAATCAAATCAAATCAAATTTAAATTAAAATTAAATCCAAATTAAATCCAAATTAAATCAAATTTAAATTAAATCAAAATCAAATCAAAATCAAATCTAAATTAAATCAAAATCAAATCAAAATCAAATCTAAATTAAATCCAAATTAAATTAAATTTAAATTAAATCAAAATCAAATCAAAATAAATCAAAATCAAATCCAAATTAAATTAAATTAAATCCAAATTAAATTAAATTAAATCAAAATTAAATCCAAATTAAATCCAAATTAAATTAAATTAAATCAAAATTAAATCCAAATTAAATTAAAATTAAATCCAAATCAAAATTAAATCAAATCAAATTAAAATCAAATCTAAATTAAATCCAAATTAAATTAAATTTAAATTAAATCAAATTAAAAAATTAAATTAAATCAAAATCAAATAAAAATTAAATCAAAATCAAATCAAATTAAATCCAAATTCAAATTAAATTAAAATTAACCTTGCTCCAACTGCTGCTGCAACAGATGATTCAATATAAACTACATTTGGTGTTGTTCCTAAAAGACTTCCAACAATCACAAAAAATCCATTTACAAGTAATATATTCCGAAATTTATTTGTATTTGAACTTGAAATTAATTTCTCAAATCCATTTACATCAAATCTAATTTTATCCAAAAAAGCAAATTGAATAACAGTTAAAATTGTACAAACAACATTGAATAAATTTTCCAAAGCCAAAAATATAATAAAATATAAAGGACTTGCATTTCTCCAATGGAAATTTAATTTGAATGCTGATTTTGAAAGATTTGGGAATTTCCAAATTTCCATATTTAAATCATCAATACTTGCTCTTATTATAATACTAAAAATTGTGCAAACTAAAACAGAAATTACAAAAATCCATCGATATTTTCTTGATACTCCAAATACAACTAATACAAGTGTTAAAATACCAAGTAATGCTTCATAACTTGGTTTAAATACATATGAACTATCTAAATGTAAAACATCAACTAATCCAAGTTTTCCAAGAAATAATCCAATCTTCAAAGATAAAAAACATATAAAACAAAATGAATGATTAAAATATCATTTTAAAAAAAGAATATTTAATTACTCCATAAGATAATCCAATTCTAAATGAAGAAGGAAGTGCTGAAATGAAATTTGATTTTGGAATTAAAAACTATTTAATTTTATAAATAATTTTATAATTAATTTTATATTTAATTTTATAAATAATTTTGTAATTAATTTTATAAATAATTTTATAAATAATTTTATAAATAATTTTATAAATAATTTTATAAATAATTTTATAAATAATTTAATAAATAATTTTATAATTAATTTTATAAATAATTTTATAAATAATTTTATAATTAATTAATTAATTTGTTTTAAAAGATAAAGTACAGCAGCAATAAAACAAACTATTCCTTCAAAAAAATGAATACTTAATGCTGTTTCCCAAGAATATCCTAAATAATGGCAAAGAATTTGAGTAAAATATTCATTTTCTCCAATAGCCATTGATAAAACAAGAGGAAATCCTGAAAAAATTCCTAAAGCAATTGAACCAAATCCACTTACTATTCTCAATAAAAAATATTTTTTGATGAAAATATTTTTAAATAAAATTAAATTAAATTAAATTGAATTAAATATAATATAATCACCAAGACAAGTTGCCCAAATAATAGATAATCGATCCATACTTTTTGGAAGAGCATTTGGTTGTTCTCTAAGGATATCTTTTTGAATTATAATTTTAAATTTAATTTTGATTTTAATTTTAATTTTAAATTTAATTTTAATTTTGATTTTAATTATAATTTTGATTTTCAATTTGAAAAATACAAATTGTTGTAAAAAACATTGTTAAACCGCCAAGTATTTCTGTAATAAAATTTGATTTTCTTTTTGATATTTGAAAAAAAATATCTAATTTTTGTAATAATCCATTATCATAAGGAGAAATATATTCTGGTTCATGATAAATTTGTTTTTAATTTCTTTTTGTTTTTTAATTTCTTTTTGCTTTTTTGGTTCGACTTTTTTGGGAATTAAAAAGTCTTCTTCTGATGAAGTTGTATCTTCAAATTGAATTTGAGAAAGTAATTTCTCATTTGAATTTGGATTGAAATCAGAAGTCATATTTTTTGAAAACGCGAAAAAAAAAATAAAAAAAATAAAAAAAATGAAAAATTAAAATTCCAAAAATATTTTTTTCATTTTTTTCTTTTTAAAAATGAATGATTGTTTATTTTTTGGTCAAAATTATTCACCAAAACTTTTTAAAAATGAACCAAATGAAATAACAAAACCAATTCAATTTAAATTTGAAAATGAAAATGAAAATGAAAATGAAAATGAAAAGAAAATGAAAATGAAAATGAAAATTAAACAAATTTCAACAGGTTATTTATCAAAAATTTTCCTTTTTAAAAATGGAAAAGCAATAGAATATTTAAATGAAAATGATTCAAATCAAAATCCTTCAAAAATCCAAATTGAAGAAAATATTCAAAAAGTAACTGTTGATTATCAAAATGAAGCTATTTTAACAATAGAAGGAAATGTATTTGCCAAAGGAAAAGATATTAATTCAAATAATCCAAATGAATTTATCAATATTTCATCATTAATTGAAGATAAAAATGATAGAATAATTGAAGATATTGTTTCTGGAGATAGTTCAATTTACTTATTAACTTCAAATCAAAATGTTTATGGAATTGGTTCAAATCAATTTGGTCAACTTGGTTTTGATTCTGAAAAACTTCAAAAAACACAAAAACCAATTTTAATGATGAAAAATGTTTCTAAAATATTTTCAGGAAATTCTTCAAACTCATGTTTTTCTTTTAAATTCAAATCAAGAATTATTTGGATGCGGAGATAATGAATATGGTCAACTTGGATTAGGAAAATTAAGAAAAGAAGAAAGAATCTATAAATTAACCAAAATCCAAAATATTCCGAAAGGTAAAATAATTGATATTCAATGTGGAAATTCTCATTCAATAATGTTAATTGAAAATGAAAATGAAGATGAAAATCCAAAAAGAAAACTTTATTCATGTGGAGATTATGAAAATAATGGACTTGGCAAAAATGAAGATACTTATGAATTTACTGAAATCAAATCATCTTTATTTGAAAATGATAATATTCTTGAATTTTCTGTTGGATATTTTCATACTTTGATTTTAACTTACAATTCAAAATTAATTGGATTTGGAGGTAATAATTCAGGTCAATTAGGAACTGGAGATACAAAATATCAACTAATTCCAATTCAAATTAAACTTCCTAAATTAAGATTTAATGAAAATATTTTCAATTATCATATTTTTTGTGGAAATAACAGATCATTTATTTATTATTCTCCTCTTTCTTTTTCCAATCTTGAAGAAGATTTGATAAAATTATTTAGAAGAAAAGAATTTTGTGATATTTCATTTAAAACCAAAAATGGAGAAATAATTGAAGCTCATAAATTAATATTGAAATATAGATTAAATCAAAGATCAAAATCAAATTGAAAAACTTCAAGAAATTATTTCAAAAAAATCAATTAAAGAATCAAATCAAATATTTGAAATGATTTATTCAAACAGAATAATAAATCCAAAATTATATTCTGAAATTAAAGAAATTATAAATTTAAATGAAAAAATTGAAGAAACAATTAAAAGAATTTATTTAAATGAAAATGAAAATGAAAATGATTTTATAATTGAAAGAAAAGAAAAACAATATAAATTTCCTAAATTAATATTAATAATGAGAAGTGAATTATATCGAGGAATGTTTTTATCTGTAACTGATGATAAATCAAATAAAGTTACAGATTATAGTGAATTAAGTAATAAATCATTTCAAATATTTGAATATTGGATTTATTCAAATCAAATTAAAGATGAAATTAAAATTACACAACAAATTATTAATGAAATTCAAATTGGAATTGATTATTTTCAATTAAATCAAACAAATCCAAATTTATTTGATTTATTAATTAAACAAAAAAAAAAAAAATAAAATAAAAAAAAAATAAATAAAAAAAATAAAACTCGGATGCCGGGAATTGAACCCGGATTTCAGGTGTGAGAGACCTGTGTGCTACCATTGCACCACACCCGATTTAATTTAATTTAATTTTAATTTTTTTAATTAAAATTTTTTTTTATTAATATATTCTTTTATATTAATTATTTAAAATTATTATAAATTAAGATATAAATTTATAATAATTTTAAACAATAATTTATTTATAAATTTATTTAAAATAATTTATATATAAGATATTTATTATTAATATTTAATTTATATTAATTTATAAATATATTCTTTTATATTAATAATTTAAAATATTTTATTTAATTTATTTCTTAATTTATAATAATATTAAACAATAATTTATTTATAAATTTATTTAAAATAATTTAAATATAAAATATTTATTATTAATATTTAATTTATATTAATTTATAAATATATTCTTTTATATTAATTATTTAAAATATTTTATTAAATTTATTTCTTAATTTATAATAATATTATATAATAATTTATTTATAAATTTATTTAATTTAATTTAAATATAAGATATTTATTATTAATATTTAATTTATATTAATTTATAAATATATTCTTTTTATATTAATTATTTAAAATATTTTATTAAATTTATTTCTTAATTTATAATAATTTTATATAATAATTTATTTATAAATTTATTTAAAATAATTTAAATATAAAATATATTCTTTTATATTAATTATTTTAAATATTTTATTAAATTTATATCTTAATTTATAATAATATTAAACAATAATTTATTTATAAATTTATTTAAAATAATTTAAATATATAATATTTATTATTAATATTTAATTTATATTAATTTATTAATATATGAGTGATTTGAGGCTGATGTGAAAAATTTTTTTTTGTTTATTTTTTTTCCCTTTTTTAATTAAAATTGAACAAGAAATCTCGATAAAAGCCTCAAATTTTGGTGCTTCCTGAGGCACGATAAAGGTTTATTTCTTTGAGAATTAGAAAAATTGAATCAAAAAAAATCAATCAAAAAAAATCAATCAAAAATCAATCAAAAAAAAAGAAAAATGAATTAGATTCTTGTCAAAGAAAAAAGGAATAGAAAGAATGATTATTTTTTCTTAATCTTCTCTTGTAAAAATCATCATTGTAAAAGTATCTTTTGTTCTAAAAGGATTCACGGGAAATATATGAGCATCACTTATTCCAAAAAAATTTGAACTAGTTTCGGTTTCTAAGATTTCAGTCCAATAATGACCTTCATTGGCATTTCCAATATGGTGTATTGATCCAAGCAATTTCATTTCAGTTTCTTGATTAGGACAACTCTGAAACATGAAAGATTTGACATTGATCTTTTCTTCACATTGAATTTTGGTTCCAATTCTTGTTGTAGATTGAGTCAAGGAATCATAATAAGTTCTCTTGAAAAAAATAACCAAATATTTAGGAATAGTCAAAAGAGACAATTTAATGGAGCTTTCTACTTTTTGGTCACAATTTTCACAGTGATAATGTTGAGAGAAATCTAAATCCTTTTCAGCGAAATAATTATCGAGCATTGAAGAAATGCTAATTTCTCCGTTCAAAATTGGAAAGCTAATCACAAGACTTGTTTCTTGAGGAAAGGAGTAAGTAAATCTTTTACATTTCTTACATGTCACCTTTTGCACAATACGAATGCGAAAATCATTTATTATAGCTCGATTGTGAATATCAAATTCTTGATAAAGAAGATCATATGGAACATTGAAATCTGAAATATTCTCATTTGATATTAAATCCATCAAGGAAACAAAAAATTCATGTATATCTTGTTCATTAGTGTTGGAAAATTGAGTCACATGTTCTCCTATTACCTTTCTTAGTGGAGTTATATTAATCGATTCTTCTGAAGATTGTAAAATATCGCTCAAAGTTTCAGAAATATCACCTAAACCTAATAGTTCAATTACAGAAGTTCTTAAAAGCACTTGAATGATGGAAGCTATATAACATGAATTGTGTGAATTTGGAATCTTTCTTAAATTCTAATCAAAAATTAAAATGAGAAAATCAAAAAGAAAAAAATAATAAAAGAAGAATTTTCTTACTCCTGTTTTGCAAATGGATATTGATGATGTAAAATTCTTTTTGTTTTGGGAGATTATCTTGAAATTTTGAAATGCGCAAATTTTTGATTTCTTCTTTTCTTCAAATTCAATTTTTCTCTTGATTTTTGATGTTTTCTGGAAGAACTTCGTAGATTTCCATTCACATGATTCATTTCTTTTCATCTTCTTTTTCTCTTTGCGAATGAAATTTTTGTGTTTCATTTGGAATCACCTTTTCATTTTTGGAATTTGTCATTTGAGTATTAAAGAAAGGAATAGAATAATTCTCCTGAATTAATGCTGAATTTTGTTTAATTCCAAATTCTTTCTCTTGAAAAATTTGTTCAATTATAGGTATTCTTCTTTTTCGAAAATTGGTGTTTGGCATTCTTGCAGTTTTCAAGTTTCCTTTTAAGAAAATAAAAATGTGTGATTTTTTAATTTTTGCAATTGGATTCTTGTAAAGAAATTTGAGTGCTCTATTCACATTTAAAATAATTGGTGTTGTGTTACTAAGTTGAGATAAATAATCAAAAAGTGAATTAATAGTTGTAATATCCCCAAAATTTGCCTTATTCCTTGATATGTTACCAAAATGACGATCAGACATATGTTTAGCATGGTTTCTGAGAAAGAAAATTACCTTAATATCTAAAAATTGCGAACTAAAAGCATCAAAAATCATCCCCAGAACAAAGTTATTTTTAATGTGTCCTCCATTATCAGAAAAAATCCTTAGTTTTGATATGTTTAATAGATTTCTTTTATGTTGCCATTCATTGAATTTATATCGAAAATCTTGAAAACTTTGAAGAACAAATTGGAATCCTATAAGAGAAATAGAAAATTAATAGAATCAAAAAGGAATTCAATTTTTAAACTTACTTTAGTTTGATCCTCTGAAATATAATCGAAATAGAACAACTGTTTTTCAAACTGAATAGTAATATTGAAGATCACCCATGATTTTTTATGATAGAATTCTTGTGTTTCCCAATTATCTCGATACTCTTGAAAATTGACTGCAAAGTCCAAGAATAAAATAATTTGATCAAGAAGTTGAATTTCCGATTTGTATAAATTTCTCATTTCAAGAACTTTTCTTTGGTGATTCTGCCTTTTTCATGATTGGATTAGAACATTTTTGGACACTGGAAAAAAAAGCTGTTGCAGAATGAATTGAAAAATACTTTTGAAGAAGTGAGCAGAAAGTCCCATATTTAAGATCATTTTCTTTATCCTGTATTTGATTAAAAAGTCTTTTCTTTGTCAAACTTGTGCGGAAAACAGGTATATCTTTTCTGCTGTAAAAATCAATCGTTGTAAATGTTTCTAAATGATCTAAAATTCGAAGGATATTTTTTTCATGATTTGTGAAAACCCATTCTTTTGATTTTGTTTGAGATTTTAGGTAAAATGGAATCTTAAAACGATGATGTTCACAATTTAAATGTCTCTTTAGCTTCCATGAATTTAAATTTTTCAATTCCTTATCACAAGAAGAACAAAAAACTTTTTGTGTATCTAAATCATATGAAAGAAATGGATCCTGATCGATCATTTTTTGAGTATTCATTGGCACTTTCTTTCCACTTTTTGAAATAGTGATTTGAACATTCAAAATAGGAATTTCCTCTGAAGTTATTAGAAGAACTTGTTCTTTAACACAATTTAGGAAGATTACAAGTTGTGAATTGTTTGAAATACGAACAGTTTTATCTTGAAAGAAATAGGTGAATGCTTGAATCTTTTGTCGAATGTTGAAGTTATCTTTCACATCTTTAATTAAGGTTTTAAAGTTTAGGATCTTTTCAGCATCAAACACACAAAAATTTCCTTGAAAACGAATAAAAAAAAGCTTCATTTAAAAGAAAAAATGAATTGAGATTTTATCAAAAAATTCCTTTTGAAATCCTCAAAAAAGTGGACATTGATTTAATTAAAAAAAAGAAAGAAAAGGAAAAAAATCTTCTTGATCTTATTTCAAAAAGAAAAGAAAAAAACTAAAGAAAAAATTGATTCTTCAAACTATTTAAAGAAAAAAAGAAATTGAAAGGAAAAAGTGGACATTGATTTAATTAAAAAAAAGAAAGAAAAGGAAAAAAATCTTCTTGATCTTATTTCAAAAAAAAAGAAAAAAACCAAAGAAAAAATTGATTCTTCAATCAAAATACAAATGTCTAATATGTAAAGATATTTTGTAATTGAATTATCGATAAAAACAAATTGAAAGGGAGAAGAAAAGCAAAATGAAAAATCTGATCTTTTTGATTTTGATTGATTAAAATATGATTCAAAAAAAGTTATTTTAAAAAAGAAGTCTAAAATTTCTCTTTTATTTTTTTAAGAGATTTAAAAAAGAAGACATATATGAAATTTAAATTCCTTTTTTAAAAAAATTCCTTTATTAATAAAATCAAAAGTAAATAAATTTGATGAGAATTTTTTGGAACAATATAAAAAAAATCACTCAATAAATTGATTATTTGATATTTTAATTTTGAGGCTCAAGAGGCTTTTTTTTTTATTGATTTTTTTTGCAACAGAATCACTCATATTCTTTTATATTAATAATTTAAAATATTTTATTAAATTTATATCTTAATTTATAATAATATTAAACAATAATTTATTTATAAATTTATTTAAAATAATTTAAATATAAAATATTTATTATTAATATTTAATTTATATTAATTTAATAAATATATTCTTTTATATTAATTATTTAAAATATTTTATTAAATTTATTTCTTAATTTATAATAATTTTATATAATAATTTATTTATAAATTTATTCAAAATAATTTAAATATAAAATATATTCTTTTATATTAATTATTTAAAATATTTTATTAAATTTATTTCTTAATTTATAATAATTTTATATAATAATTTATTTATAAATTTATTCAAAATAATTTAAATATAAAATATATTCTTTTATATTAATTATTTAAAATATTTTATTAAATTTATATCTTAATT